TCTGCTGCATACAATGAGATTGGGTAGTGTGGGAGTGTCTCCTCAGTCATTGAATGTTCGGGGTCTGCAAAAAGGAGGAGATAGCGGACACAGGTTTGGGTAATAAATTTGTGAGAGGCATCTATTCCAAGGTCAATGACTGAGTTGAATTCTTGCTGGAATTCATGGGAAAGGATATAATCCTTGACAGATGAATGTGCAAAGGCTATTGGTGTTTTATCTGTGCTATTGCTCTGCCTCCCGAGCCAATCCTGTGACCTCTCTGAGCTGTCCTTTTTTATAACAATCAGGCCCTCTAACAACTTGAAGTTATCCGAGTTGTCTAGACGTCTTTTTGGATAGTAAGTGGATTTTGCTGGGTCAGAAAAGTCGAATCCAGGGGCATCTAGGCGGAAGGAAATAGCATCTGCCAGCTCATCCGATGTGAGTTCTCTTGCAGAAAACACAAGCCACCGGAAAATTGCTTGGATGAAAGGTGACCTGAGAGAAGCTTGTGCCCGGGTTAAGAAACGACTGTAAATCCAGAACAGATCAGATGGAAGGGCTGTGAGGGTCTCCTGCCATTCATCCTCATAACAATGCTCAAGCTCAATGAGGAGACATGCGGCCATGCGGAACCTGGATATACAAGTAAGCTTCAGGACAAATTATGGAATGGTGAGATGACCGACATTCCATTGCTCTTCTGTACAATCTGCTCTGTAACCTCCTTCGCAGATTTGACATCTGTAATCCAATTTCTGGCCCCAGGAACTTTACTGCTGAGGAAGGACCTGATGTCGCCAGTTGAAGCTGCAGAACCAAGCTCAATGGAAGTTACATCCTTGAATGCATTGTTGAAGTCCTCATGAGGTTGACTGGTCAACAGAAGGTGCAGTGTATCCTTGGTAGACTGGCATAGACTGTGGATGAATTTGATGAGGTGCTTCCAGTCGATCTTGTTGCATTCATCGAGCCCATCAATGACAATATATGTCTGTTCGAGCTCTGAAAGTAGATCTTCAAGGACCCCTTGGAGATGGACATACTGTGGCTGTATAGTTCCATTTCCCAGTGTTTTGTATAGCTGATGAAGAGAGCTATAGGGTGAAGGTGACCGTCCAGAGAGCTGCCAGACGATAGAACGTAACATGAGGTCCATGTGCTGCCTCTCATTCCTAAAATCAAAATAGAAATATGTGACTGCGATCTGGTCTGAACAGTCCACGGTGATATTTTCAATCACTGTTGAACTGCTCGTGTAGGCATTGTCAGAGGCAGCAAATGTACATAGTAGTCAGATGAACCACCTTAGTACGCTCTTTCCGGTACCAGCTACAAACAATTATTAGACATGGAATTGGAACACAATAAAATTGACTCACAGATGCCTTTGATCCATAAAGAGCTGGCTGTAGTCTTCCATTTGATGAATTGGCTATCACCCAAGAACCAGCTCCCAGTGACTTCATGACGAAGTTTCTGCAGCTCGTGTTGTGTGTCCTTTGTAGTAGGAGGAGACTCCAACCACTTGTACAGAACTTCTTCGAGTCTGAACAGAGGTCAGCTTCAAATATCGTCCTCAGAAATTTGATTAACCCTTGACCCTGGTTCACACTGCCATTGTTGAGAAAGGATTTTAGGAAAAGGAATGGGGGATGCTTAACCGACATACATTGTCACTTGGGGACCCTCCCCTTTACCCCCCTTGCCACCAATACCATAGGCATCACCACCCGAGCCGCCGTGGCCCCCTGGGGACAAGATATCATGACACCGACATCCCAGTTAAGTTTCCTACACACCACTAATAGAGAATTTGGCACCGAAGGTCTTGACTTCATTGCCCTGGCTATACATGGTCAAAATGGATTACTATATCACGGATCTTCTGTAGGTGGAACACCATGTGAGCCAAAAGGAAGATTAGATAGCAGAAAGAGCCACCCACAGACTGGGTGAGGAGGATGTATTCCTTCGCAGTGGACCTGGAGGTGGGAGACAAGAGTGGTCACCTTGAGCGCCTCGTGGAGAACAGCCTGCACTTTCACACGATGAAATATCAGAGAAGCAAGAAGATTTTTATCATCGGCTTCCATGTGTGATTAAATATCAGAAAAAATGTGTGAAAACTTAAAGCTCCTGGAATTGCACCCCTCGACTTTCACACATAAGATGGTTAAGAGGTAATCAATTTGTTCAGCATTCAGAATGATGGAGCTCTCAAAAAGAGTGCATCTGTGCTGTCCCACATCACACAAGGTTGACCAACTCGGAAGCAGAACAGCTCCGCTGTCATGTGTAGACACCTTCACCTAATTTGGTAACTAAGGAAGAGTACCGCTGTAGGTCAACAAAAATGCGTCAAGGTATAATCACACTCTTTATAAAATTATGCATGTTTAGGATTCCTATACATTGGCTTCACAATGCCCCAAAGGAGCCCTTGTGCGGCATTACATTATGCTGCTTCCCTCCCCCATTCTACCCCTCACTAATGCATGAGAAATTGAGTAGCTTTGCAAAATTTTTATTGTTTTGGGCAAAAAAAAAAAAGCACGGAGCTCCAACATGTATAGAGTAGTACCAACAAGTTATACACCAATGTAACACCATACTGCTTTCCTTTCTTATTCCAATGCTCAGCTCACAAGAAATTGAGCGGAGCTGTGGTAAAGAAAGAAGAAGAAAAAATCCAAACAGACCAGCGCCGCGTGCAGTACCTTGATTCGAACAAGGACCTCCGGATTTGACTTGATTGAACAACCTGAAGGAGCCCCGTGTGCAGCATTACACCATACTACTTTTCTTCCCTTTTTCCATGGCTCAAATATAAGCAAGAAATTGAGTAGCCTTGCAAAGGAATAAATAGGGCTGACGAGACTGACGAAGAGTAGCACCTTGATTCGAACAAGGACCTCAGGACTAATTTGCTCGGGACTTTCATAGGAAGGTCCTGTGTGCAGACATTAAACCATACTGCTCTCTTCTCCTGTTTGGAAGCTTATGGTCCCATAGTAGATTAAGTGCGTTTCCTATAAAAACAAACACAAGGAGGTAAAGACCTATGGCGGTCACATTGCACATTTATTATTCCGACCTTTTTTTCACTTTTTCACCTTTTCTTTTTTGGGGTTTTCAACTTCTTGAACTTTTTTTTCATGTTCCCATAGTTTTTTTTTTTCAAGATCATGAAATCTTTCAAAACATCGGTGGCAATGTGTTTTATGGAGCATGGGTAGTCGGAATGAATGACCCCTTAGATTAGGGTTTATCATTGATGGATGGCCGGGATCGATCAATCCCGTACCTCTGCCTCTAAGGTAGAGTCTAATGGTAACTTGAGCAGGCTGTTATGTGGTGTGGCTCGCACCAAGCCTTCCCAGGCACACTTGACCAGTTTCAGACCCAGCATGTGAAGTATTTGAGAACTCGACACACCATGCCGATCAAGGCCATCAAGCGGCGAGTCGGCCTGCACAGCCCCCATACCAAGAAAAAATAGTTGAAATTTTGACTTCATAGAAAGTTTACTCCAATCTTGGAACAACTAATCACAACCTCTGTTCAAAAGACAAAAAAATATGACTGGAAGAGGGAACATGAAAAAAAAAGTACAGAAAGTTGAAAACCTGGAAAAAAAAGGTGAAAAGGTGAAAAAAAAGCCCGGAATAATAAATGTGCAAAGGGACTGCCATACTGATCTGGAACTTCACAGCCCTTATATGGCGTCCAAAGTGCACATTTAATAAAAATCACTCTTTTTGAACTTTTTTGGACTTTTATCCCTCTTTTGCCTCAAAATCTACATCTCTCTCTCTCTCTTTTGGGGGTGCTGAGTGGTGAAACTTCGTACTTTTTCCCTCTCCCTACTTCGGGTATGTTCATATCACTTTACTTGTCAGAGATTGGTATCGGTAATCTCTCTCTCTCTCTTCCGACACAAAATTTTTATCTCTCTCTTTTGGCGAAAAAAAAATCATCTCTCTCTCTTGAGTACTGAGGGATTATCTATTCCTCAATACTTTCCAACTTTCTTCTCTCCCTCTTGCGTCCCTTACACGCGGCGTCACAATCACGTGCACAGTGACATGGTCCGCCGTCCGGTGTCTAGCGGGCCACCCAGCCATCCCCTGAGTGTTGTCGACAATCTTGCGCCTCCAAAAACAGCCGGTTGAACGACGGGCTGGAACGGCAAGTCAACAGCACACGGGTACGTCACAATAGTTTGGCTGAAAATACTGTTTATTGGCTCACTTTTCTCCAGGTACCACCCATTTTGAGCCCTTTCCGTGTGGGAGGCAGAAGAGCAGTCAGTACCTTGGTTCAAACAAGGACCTCGGGATTAAACATGCTGGGAATACACTTAGTGGAATCCCGTGTGCAGCATTACACCATACTGCTTTTCTTATCTTGTTCTAACATGAACCCCCAACAAATTGGGTGGCCTTGCAAAGGAAAAAAATAGGACTGACAAGACTAACGAAGAGCAGCACCTTGATTTGAACAAGGACCCCAGGGTTAAGTTTCTTGCTATTTTGTAGTGAAATCCTGTGTGCTGCATAACACCATACTACTTTACCTACCTTGTTCAGAGGCTAATAAACCTACAAGAAATTGAGTGGCCTGCAAAGGGAAAAAGAACCAGGAATGGCAATTACAGTAGCACCTTGATTCGAACAAGGACCCCAGGATTAAGTTTCTTGCTATTTCCTAGTGAAATCCTGTGTGCAGCATTACACCATACTGCTTTTCTTCGCTTATTTAGAGGCTTGTAACCCCACAGGAAATTCAGTGGCCTTCAAAGGAAAATGATTTAACACACTAAAAAAGCTGTGGCGGGAAAGAGCAGTACCTTGATTCGAACAAGGACTTCGGAGTTAAATTCTCGTCGGTCGAACACTAAAGGAAGCCCCGTGTGCAGCATTACACCATACTGCTTTTCCTCTCTTATTTGAGTCTCAAATATGCTCCAGAAATTGACTAGACTTGTGAGGTAAAATGAACAGTGTCAAAATCCAGAGCAGCACCTTGATTCGAACAAGGACCTCAGGAATACATTGGTGTCACACACACAGCTCAGTAACATCCTGTGTGCAGGGTTGCACCATACTGCTATCTTTTTCTTGTTCCAGGGCTCATAAACTACAAGAATTCACAGGCTTGTAAAGGAAAAGAAAAAAGCGGGTGTGACGTCAGAAGAGCAGTACCTTGATTCGAACAAGGACCTCGGGATTAACTTTCTCACACCCGGGATAGAATTCTTTTAGGCTGGATTAAAAGGCTAGCGAAGACAACTTGTATTAGTAGGCAAATACATCGTAGTTAAAATAACACGAATTGACACCGTAAAATAGCCTTCGCGAAGTAAGATAATTTACTTCAACTTCTTTGTTTTAGGAAACCATGTCGTTTCATTCACATTTGAAAGGGGATTGAAGCCAAAGACAATTGAGTGCAAAAATAGGCTGTTTGATTCAACCGGTTCTCAACGGAATAAGGAAACAAAGGGTTTCCACTTTTGTTTTAACCCAGCCTAAAACATAGGTGGAAACAAAGGGTTTCCTTATTCCGTTGAGAACTATGGCGGTCACTTTGCACATTTATTATTCCGGGCTTTTTTTTCACCTTTTCACCTTTTTTTTCCAGGTTTTCAACTTTCTGTACTTTTTTTTTCATGTTCCCTCTTCCAGTCATATTTTTTTGTCTTTTGAACAGAGGTTGTGATTAGTTGTTCCAAGATTGGAGTAAACTTTCTATGAAGTCAAAATTTCAACTATTTTTTCTTGGTATGGGGGCTGTGCAGGCCGACTCGCCGCTTGATGGCCTTGATCGGCATGGTGTGTCGAGTTCTCAAATACTTCACATGCTGGGTCTGAAACTGGTCAAGTGTGCCTGGGAAGGCTTGGTGCGAGCCACACCACATAACAGCCTGCTCAAGTTACCATTAGACTCTACCTCAGAGGCAGAGGTACGGGATTGATCGATCCCGGCCATCCATCAATGATAAACCCTAATCTAAGGGGTCATTCATTCCGACTACCCATGCTCCATAAAACACATTGCCACCGATGTTTTGAAAGATTTCATGATCTTGAAAAAAAAAAACTATGGGAACATGAAAAAAAAGTTCAAGAAGTTGAAAACCCCAAAAAAGAAAAGGTGAAAAAGTGAAAAAAAGGTCGGAATAATAAATGTGCAATGTGACCGCCATAGAGAACCAGTCGAATCAAACAGTTTGTTTCTGCACTCTACTCCCTTTAACTTCAATCCCCTTTCAAATGTGAATGAAACACAATGGTTTCTTGGGATGAAAAATTTGAAGCAAATTATGTTGCTTTGCAAAGGCTATTTTACAGTGTCAATTCATGTTATTTTAACTACAATGTATTTGCCTACTAATACAAGTTGTCTTCGCTAGCCTTTTAATCCAGCCTAAAAGAATTCTATCCTGGGTGTGTCTTGGGTCTCTCGTAGTAAAGTCCCGTGTGCAGAATTACACCATACTGCTTTCATTGCCCTACTCCAAGGCTCATAGACCTACAAGAAATTGAGTGGAATTGTAACGGAAAAAGAGCTGAGATGGAACCTCAAGAGCAGTACCTTGATTCGAACAAGAACCTCGGAATTAAACATCCTGGGTACACCTAGTGGAATCCCGTATGCAGTCTTACACCATACTGCTTTTCTTGCCTTATTCCAAGGCTCATGAGCCTACAAGAAATTGAGTGGAGTTGGGAGGTAAAAAGTGAGCTAGAAGAGCTAGAGAGCAGTACCTTATGGCGGTCACCTTGTACATTTATTATTTGGGTATTTCTTTTCACATTTTATGCCTTTTTTCGTGTTTTTTCATGTTTCCGAAGTTTTTTTTGGTTGTACCATAACTTTTTTTTTTCAATCTTCAGTCCTTTGTTCTTTCTTTCCCATTTTGAACTCAGTACCACTGTTTTATGAGCAAGGGAGACACTGAAGGATGGTTTGAACTTCGCCCCTAGAGTGGGGTTAATCAAATTTGATGGCCTATTTTGATGGGATGCTTCGGCGGTAAGGCATGGCCTCCTACAGAGCTACAGCAGGTGTATATCTACTCTATATGGGTTCCAGCACATGCTTGACACACTCCTGCAAGTAGTCTGGGCATAGACCTTGTAAGTCCAAGTCTGGTCCAAGTACTTGACATGTGCTGCCGATCGAAGCCATCAAGGCCGGCCGATTGGCTTGCACAGCCACCCTATCAAAATCAAACTACACTCGCCTTCAACTAACAAAAAAGGGAAGTTAAATCCAATCTTGCAAGAAAGCTTTGTTTAGACCCTCCAGAAAAAAGTATGGCTGGAACAAAAAGAAAACAAGGGATACACAAAAAAAAAAAACTATGGACCCCCGAAAACATGGAAAAAAGGAGCGAAAAGCACAAAAAAAGTCCAGAATAATAAATGTACAAAGTGACCGCCATAGTACCTTGCTTCGAATAAGGACCTTGGGGTTAATTCCTTTATGTACACGACTACAAAACAGCCCCGTGTGCAGCATTACACCATACTACTTTTCTTCCCTTATTTCACCGCTCTTAGATGCACAAGAGATTGAGTTGTGAGGTAAAACAGGCAACGGGGGTGAAGAGCAGTACCTCAGTTCGAACAAGGACCTCGGGGTTATTATCGGGGAGTCAAATGTATTAATGGAACCCCATGTGCGGCCAAGGACCCCAGGATTAATTTTACCATGACCATAAACTAATAGAATGCTGTGCGCAGTGATATACCATACTGTTTTCCTCTTCTAAATGCACCAGAAATTGAGCGGGTTGTGGGGCAAAAAGCGGTGGGCTTCGACGGTAACAGAGCAGCACCTTGGTTCGAACAAGGACCTCGGGATTCAATTTTAGTGGGTGTCTTGAAACGTAGGCAGGTCCCGTGTGTAGACATTACACCATACTGCTTGTTGCGGTAGGGTTGGGGTGTGCGTTGGTGGGTTACCGTTCAATCACGGAATTTGCGGAGGTGCGATATTTATAGTTTGAGTTGAAACCGTGATGCCCGCCGGGCATCCATCCTGTAGGCCCAGGGATGGATGGATGAAATGAAGGAAGATGCGCGGGAGGTTTGAGTTTCCGGTGAAGCAAAGCCCGTTCAAGTTACTGTTCAACCAACGTTTCAACCGAAGTCTAGAGTCTAGACGCCCAAAGTTGAAAAAAATGAATGATGTTCAGAAAATATCATCGTTCGGGCACCCGAAAGCTTGGACCGCGACAAGACCGCGACTGGAACTCTCGCGCCAGAAGTCAGAACCCACGCTGCCTAAGTTGAACAAAACATCCCAAAGCGGTAACGGCGATCGCCGATGCGTCACTTGTCATGCTCTGTTTACCCATCCACCTTCGCTTGTTCGGCGTTGTCGACGACGCACGGATCTGCGGCAACGCAAGACGGACAAGAATAGGAAGAGGAAGACAAGGCTTGACGAGACCCGCCGTCTTTTTTCTTCCAGCAAGCGAGCAATCTTTCTGCGGTCGTTGCCTTTGTGCTTTCTGCTCTGCGCTCTGCGCTAAACCACCACAAACCCTAGCCTAGCCGCGTTCTGGTTCTGGTTCTCGTCCTCAGCAGCACCAGACAGACGCACGACAAGTGACGACATTAACCTCACGACTCGGACACCGTGTCCAGCTCCAGCACCACCTCCCGCCCGTCCCGCTCCGCCTCTGCACCCGCCTCCGCCTCCAGCACCTCTTCGCCCACCGGTTCCACCACCTCCTTCACCGGCTACCCCCAAACCGGCTCCACCGCCACCGACCCCGGCGTCACCGCCCTCCCCGGCAACAACGGCACCTCCAGCGGCGATGCCGGTACTGGGGGTGGCAATAATAGTGGTGGTGGGGGCGGAGGCGGGAGTGGCATTCAGAGTAGTGCGCAGTTATACTGTGCGTCGTGTTTTTTTCTTTTATTTTGGGTGAGGGACTGATTGGTTTCTTGATTTTTATTTGTTTCCTTTGTTTTGTCGAACGATATGCTACGCTGCTCGATGTGTTCCTTCCACCGACCACCTACCCGTCTCCTGCACCTTCAATACTGCCATTTGGACCGATATTTGGACTGCATGGCTTGCGCTGATTTGCGCGTGCTCTCTCTCACTCCACCAACCCTCCAACACGCCGGACGATCGCTGCGCACCTCTACTCGACGCGGCCCCCATCGCTCCTCGGCGCTTCCCAATGATCTACCCGATACTCGACGCCGCTCTCACTCAAAATACTACCGTCACCACTGCCCGTTCTCACACCCGCCTCCCCCCGGCTGTCGACACGCATCCATCCCGCGCCGTCCCTGTGTCCCACCCCACGCCCTCCCTGCGTCCCACCCTCCCGCACCCGCGACGTCCCCTCCCTCATCTGCTATATGCACCCATCTCGCATGCGGCAGTCAAAATCTCGAATTCGCTATCAACTCCGTCTCCCCTCCCTTCTTTCCGGAGAGCGCAGAGCGCAGAGCGGAGACTGTGCTTGGCGTTTGCGCGAGCTCGGCAGAGGCGTTGGTGCACGTCGTCGTGCGTGTTTCTACTCGCCAGTGCGCAGACTGGCGCGTGGTCGTGGCCGTGGGCGTTTCAGCTCGCTGGAGCGGCTTTGGTTTTGAAAGGCGGCGCATACAACGGGACGCGCGAGTTCTCCTTTCGCTCTGGCTTTGCTCTGGCTCTGCGTCGGCGTGCGTATGACGGACGTGGACGTATGCGCGAGTGCGCGGTGCGTCGTGGTGCGGACGCGTACGTGCGTGGCGGGTGGGGCTGGGTTCTTCGGTGTCGCGGAGAGCGGAGATCGGAGCGTGCTTGGTGTTTGCGCGAGCTCGGCGGAGGCGTGACTGCACGTCGTCGTGTGTGTGTGGTACGTATGACGGTTGCGCGCGCCCGGGGCTGCGCGGGCATGCGGACGTGCGTGGCAGGTGGGGCTGCGGGGAGACCTTGGCGGGTGCCGCGCTGGTTCTTCGGTCTCGCGGAGAGCAGAGAGTGTGCTTGGCGTTTACGCGGGCCCGGGGGTGGGGTTGTCTGCGTCATGCGCGTCCTGGCATCCCTGGGCGAAGGAAGCGAGGTGTGTCGCTCGGATCGATCGCTTGGTGCGCTGGGGTGT